GTGAAACACCCTACCACCTGGCCTTTGGTACCGAAGCAGTCATTCCTGTTGAAATAGGAGTCCCAAGCTTCCGGGTCACCCATTTCGATGAAGAACGAAATGGACAACTGCTTCGGGAAAACCTTGATCTACTTGCTGAAGTCAGAGAAGAAGCTCGGCTTCAAACTCTTGTATACAAGCAGAAACTAGCCAACTTCTACAATAAACGGGTCCGCCCTCGAACATTCAAAGTAGGAGACCTTGTTCTCAGAAAAGCTGGCTTAACGGGGTTTGAAACTCGTTTTGGCAAACTCGCCCCGAATTGGGAAGGCCCTTATGCCGTGGCCGAGGTGCCACATCCTGGTGCCTATGTCCTCCAAGACGCTGAAGGAAAGAGAGTTCCTAGAGTCTGGAATGTCAATAACTTGAAGAAATTTTACCCTTAATGAAATTCCTTCAAGTGTTCTAGGTCTTACTGTTTTTTACGCTTTTCACTTAGTGTTTGTTGCAAATCATTTTACCCCTTATTCTATGTATCTGAGGTCAATCAGTTCATTCACTTCTGTTAATGAATGTCACTTCACGTTTGAAGTGCTTTATCTCCTTTTACTTCATCTACAATGATGTACTTGTTCCTAATTTATATGAAGTGGCTTACTTCTTCTTAATTCGTCTGAAGTGAATTACTTCTTCTTATTTCCTCTTAAGTCGTCTGAAGTGAATTACTTCTTAATTCTTCTCAAGCCCAGTCTCAAGTACCCACAGTTCTTTTATTCATAAACAATAATACCAAAAATGTAAAACGAACATAAACATACATATAATCTCAAAGCTGAATCTTCATTTCAAATATTAACAGTATTACAAACTGTTTAATTATCTTTACAAAAAATCAAAAAACAAAAATTATTCTTCTGGAAGAGGTGGTTCCACTGGCTCCTTCTCAGCTGGCAGAGGTGGTTGTATAGGCTGCTGCTCGTCTGGCAGAGGAGGCTCCTCATCGTCAGAAGGAACTAGGTGAATCTCCACTTCTGGAATTGGTTGACTATCACCCACTCCAGTTCCTTCCACTCCTGCCTCCACTTCGTCTCCCTCTACCTCTGCTCCTTCTTCCTCCACTGCAACGAACTCGAAGTCGAACTGTGGAGGAAAAACAGCAAGACCGTCTGCATCATCCTCCCACCTCAGTTTGATCTGAGGACGGAAGTCTGCTGACATGCTCTCACCATCTTCCTCCACTCCTTCTTCTTGCTCGCCGAAGGTGACCTTTGTCACATCCACTTCGGGATATGCAGCCTTCACCTTCTTTCTGCAATCTGTGAAGGCGATGATAGCAATGGGCAGCCGGTACAGGTTGATGATGCTGTCAAACGAGCTGGAACTGATGAAGTTGCTGATGTGCTCCTTCATCCCATTGTGCACCAACTTCTACATGTTCCCCTTCAGCTCCTTGAACGCCTCTGTCACCAGCTTCGTTTCTTTTGCCTGAGCCTCACGCTCGCTTTCAGCGATCTTTCGCTTTGTCTCTTCAAAGCCGAGCTTGGTGCCCAGAGAAGACCTCTCCTGTTCCAACTGCTTCACAGTTGGAACCACCTCGTCCAGAGACTCTTGCAGATTTTTATTCTTCTTCTCCAACTCCTCATTCTCCTTCCGCAGTTGGTCACACTGCCTCTGCAAGAGTGCGTGCTCCTTTATACTCTCCCTAAACTCCTGGGCTAGACCATTCACCCAGCTCGCGCTCTGCAAATCGAAACAGAAATTCAAAAAGAAAGAACAGAAGAAGAAACAGAATATATAAATAGCAACACTGATTACACATACCTCCAGAACATGCTTCACCACAGATGCTCCTCCATACCTCAGAGCTTCCTCCCGTGCGTTGCACTTGTCCACCTCGGGGAAGGTGCTGTTGATGAACCACCTCGCCCCCATTACGTTCTTCGCCTCGAACAGGCTGCTCTGAGGCACTGCAGGAGAAACTGGGCCCTTTCCCTTACCAGGAGCTCGTACCTCAGCCCCCTCCTCCAACCGTCTGAGCTCAGGGTTCAGCTCAACAGGAGGAGGCTAAGGCACGAACTCAGGCACCCCACTCCCCTCTTCCTCCACCACCTTCTGCTTCTTTTGCAGGGCCCTCCTCTCCTCCCAACCTTTTCTTTTTAGTGGTGCCACCTCCTCCTCCTCCGTCCCAGCTGACGCCAAGGGCACCACCTCCTTCCCAACCCTCCCCTCATCCACTTGTTTGGCTGAAGTCCTTGACTTCTTCCTTGGCTTCTTGGGGATGGCCTTCCCTCCAGCAGTGTTCAAAAACTGGTCCATTTGAGCTGCAAAGCAAAAAACACAACATTAGTCACAGTTTTATATTCTACATTTAACACTACAATGCAGGCTAAACAAACCTTCACTTAGGGCGCTTGGCCCATAGAGCTCAGCAGCTTCTATACACGCTGCGCTGGTGAGGTCCATAATATTCAATTCTTCCCCCCTCTTCCTCACCAACCTCCCCACTTCTTCCTCCTCATCCTCATTCAAGCTAAACTTATTCTGGTTGGCCCTTTTGGCCTTCCAGGAAGCTAACGCCCTCACCTCGGCATCCCCTTTCCCCCATTCCGTGTCATCAACAAAAAAGAATTTTTCCTTCCATCCCTTAATGGATGAAGGACCCGAAGTGAATAAAATCCTACCCTCCTTATTAGCTACCCTCGGGGTGAAATAATACCACCCCTTATCTCTCCTGCTACTCCCCTTTAAAACAAAAAAATACTTAAACATATTTACAGTTGGCACTCTAATCCCCTGAGCTCGGCAATAAACTAAAAAACCTATTATTACCCTCATTGCGTTGGGGACCAACTGTGTCAACCCTATGTTATAATTTAACAATAAACCTATTAGCAACTCAGGAAGTGGAAACCTGAGTCCCGCTATCAAATAGTGGGAATACACAGGCATCCAGTGATCCTGAGGAGCAGAGCACGCCCTCTCCTCTACCCCAACTGGCCTAACTAATACCCGAGAAGAGATCTCGTACGTTTCTACTAAGTGACACAAGTCATCCCTGGTCCTTAGTTTAGATCGGTACTGCTTCACTTCCTCCACTATATCTGCATTCCTATCATACCCTCTCTCCCCGTTACCTTCTACTTCTACTACAGTGAAGGGTATACTATTTACCTCAACCCTTCCTCCCTCATTCCTCCCCAACTCTACCATCTCTCCTCCCCCAACTTCCACCACCTCATCTCCTCTCACCCCTTCCACCGTTTTCTCCGAACTAGACGGAGATGGACTACTCTCTGAGTCCATGCCCCCATAGTCCAAGGGCTCCACCTCACTCCCTACTATACTTTGTG